GGCTTAGTATGACTTTTTATTGGTTCAAGTCAGAATGAAACTTTGTCATAAGTTTTAGCCTCATAAATGTGGGTTATTTGTGTATTTATAAGTTTTCCCTGTAAGTACTGGCACAACAAGTGATACAATGTCTATATATATCACACTACCATACCCATCCAAGGGACACTGAACAAGATTTATACTTCATCGCCAACTTCTGTCTGTGAAAAAGACCAGATATTCCGCTTGGAATACGACACGGTGCCCCGTGGCCTGGTGCCAAAAGCTCTCGCTTCACACAGTGAGGGTATGGTTTGTTTGCAATCGTGTCATTACGATTTCGTGAGTCAGGGTCCCGGTTCGATTCCCGGCAAAGGGGTGGAAATACCGGATGTGTTTCCTTACACCGGTTGTCTGTGTTCACCCATCAGCAAAATGGGTACCTGGGTGTTAGTCGACTGGTGTGGGTCGCATCATGGGACAAAACTGACTAAATTTGCCCAAAATGCTCTGCATAACAATCGTCTTTCTATATAGTAGTATGTCATTGACGTCAGTTCGGCCTGTATACCTTGTACATACAAAATACTGAGAGGAATTGACAAGGTGGACAAAGACAGGATGTTCCAGAGATGGGACACAGCAACGAAGGGACACAGTTGGAAGTTGAAGACACAGATGAATCACAGGGATGTTAGGAAGTATTTCTTGTAAATAAAGATATTATTATTATTATTAATGGACATTGTCCTATAAAAACGAAAGAGATCACAAACAAACGGCTTGGTTGCCCATGGTTAACCAGCACCATTCTGAAATCCATTGACAAGACACACCAATATGAAAAGCAATATAGACAGGGCTTAATACACAAAGATATTCTTAAACACTATTCATCAGTTCTCACCAAAGTAATAAAGAAAGCCAAACAACTATACTACTCCTGTAGATTCACAGACACTAGAGGAGATATAAAAAAGACCTGGAAAACACTCTCTCAGATTCTAGGGACCCACAAACTGAAAAAAAAACAAGAATATTGTCCTAACTAAACCTAATGAAACACCGCTACATCCCACTGACACAGCTAACAAGATAAATGACTTCTTCTCAACCATAGGATCTACTCTCGCCAATAAAATCCCACATACCAATGCCCATGCCGGGGACTACCTAGATGGGAATTTCCCAAATTCCTTCTATCTTGCACCAACTGAGCCCATGGAAGTCACCGAGATTATAAAGTCACTTAAAAATAACTCAGGGAATCTGTCTCATGTTCCACCGTTACTGTACAAGCGAGCGACCCATGTCCTTTCGCATGCTATTTCATTACTTTTTAACAAGTCACTAGAAACTAGCACCTTCCCGAAACTACTCAAGATGGCATGGGTTACACCAACACATAAAGGTGGTGACCCTACAGACTTAAACAACTATAGGCCAATATCAAACTTACCATTGCTATCCAAAATCTTTGAGAAACTCGTGCACAGGAGACTATATTCATTTATAATGGCACAAAACATACTCAACCCCTGCCAATTTGGATTCAGGAAAAATAAAAGCACTAATGATGCAATCATAAAAATGCTAGATCTGCTTTACACAGCATTGGAAAATAAGGAATATCCACTGAGAATTTTTATTGACCTAAGAAAAGCTTTTGACACAGTAGACCACGGCATCCTACTCCACAAACTTGACCATTGCGGTATAAGAGGCCATGCGCTTGCTTATTTCAAATTTTACCTTACTAATAGGTATCAGTATGTCACCATTAAAGACAGCATCAACAACACGGCCACTTGATACTGGAGTTCTGCATGGAAGTGTCCTTGGTCCCCTGCTCTTCCTCATATACATCAATGATCTTCCAAACGTATCCCAACACCTGAAATCCATTCTCTTTGCTGACGACACGACTTATGTCATCTCTCACCCTAATCTTGCCAAGCTCAACACCATTGTTAACGAGGAGCTGATCAAAATATCGACTTGGATGACAGCCAATAAACTTACACTTAACACTGGCAAAACCTACTATATTATGTTTGGTAGCAGAGCAGGAGATGCACAAATTAACATTAAGATCGACAACACTCTAATTACCAGACATAATGAGGGCAAATTCCTAGGCCTATACCTTGACAACAACCTGAATTTCAGCACCCATATCCAACACATAACCAAAAAAGTATCCAAAACAGTTGGGATCCTCTCCAAGATACGATACTACGTTCCGCAAAATGCCCTTCTCACACTATACCACTCACTTATTTATCCATACCTCACCTATACTATTTGTGCTTGGGGATCAACTGCAGCAACACACCTAAAGCCAATAATAACCCAACAAAAAACCGCAGTAAGAACAATCACTAAATCCCATCCCTGGCAACACCCCCCCCCCCACTCTTCATAGATCTAAACTTACTCTCTGTTCAGTACATCCACACTTACTACTGTGCAATCTACATCTACAGGACCTTAAACTCCAATATCAACCTTGACCTAAAACGCTTTCTTGATAGTTGTGACAGAACCCACAGGCATGACACCAGACACAAACATCTCTACGACATTCCCCGTGTCCGACTAAACCTTTACAAAAATTCAATGTATGTCAAAGGCCCTAAAATCTGGAACACTACCTGAAAACTCTAGAACTGCAGACACATTCATCACCTTCAAAACTACCATTAGAAAACATCTTGTCTCCCTGATACACCCCGTCAACTAACTACACGAATACCACCTGGTGGTTCACACTTACACTCACCCATTTGACCATAAACAGAAATATTAATATCAATCTTAAAATAATGAATCCTGTGATACTCCAATACTGAAACTATGTACTGTGCCAAAACAAAAGCATTCACATTGCTAAACTCACAAACTAGTATTTAGTCACTTAGCCATAATACCAACTTACCTAATAATTTGTAATATTTTAAAATTAAGAATTAAACTAAGTCTGCCCGAAATGCCTAGCCACGCTAGGTGTTCTGGTTGTACACTCTGTAATCATTATTTTACTACATGTAAACCACACAACAACTAAATTCTGTAAACTCAGCATTGTAATACTTATAGAGAATAAACTTTGAATTTGAAAAACTTTGAATCTGCAGCGAGTCAGCAGGCCTCATACCAGGCCTCAGTTCACGCATTAGCACCCGGCCCCCGGCCCCAGGCCCCCGGCTCTTAGCTTACAATCCACTGGCGTGTTTTAGTTCCTAATTTATTGAGCTCTATATGTATATTCTTTTAAACAATTCATGACATTTTCTTTCAATGTCTTCTTATCCAGCTAGTTCCATTTTTATTTAACTCTAACGCTGAAGAAATGTTTCTTAACGTTCCTATTCAATATTTTTAGTCTTTTCTCAAATAGTATTTATATCAACTGTGGGACTTTTCTAGTTGCAAACTCTCTGACTTCCTCAAGCCCTTCTGATTGCTTTACTACATATCACATACCCTGTGACTAACCTGATATTGGCGTTGTAATATCTTAGATTACTCTTTGCTTAAATCTCTGAACAACAACAACAACAACAACAACAACAACAACAACAACAACAACAACAACAACAACAACAACAACAACAACAACAACAACAACAACAACAACAACAACAATAATAATAATATCTTTATTTACTACAAGTACAAGGTATAGAGGCCTAGCTGACATAACGGAGATAAAACACCTCAATTATTGGGAGCGCTTGAGGTTCCTAAACCTGTATTCCCTGGAACGCAGGAGGGAGAGATACATGATTATATACACCTGGAAAATCCTAGAGGGACTAGTACCGAACTTGCACACGAAAATCACTCACTACGAAAGCAAAAGACTTGGCAGACGATGCACCATCCCCCAATGAAAAGCAGGGGTGTCACGTTAAGAGACCATACAATAAGTGTCAGGGGCCCGAGACTGTTCAACTGCCTCCCAGCACACATAAGGGGGATTACCAACAGACCCCTGGCAGTCTTCAAGCTGGCACTGGACAAGCATCTAAAGTCAGTTCCTGATCAGCCGGGCTGTGGCTCGTACGTTGGTTTGCGTGCAGCCAGCAGCAACAGCCTGGTTGATCAGGCTCTGATCCACCAGGAGGCCTGGTCACAGACCGGGCCGCGGGGGCGTTGACCCCCGGAACTCTCTCCAGGTAAACTCCAGGTAATGACATAATATTATATAGAAAGTCCATTGTTATGCAGAGCATTTCGGGCAAATTAGTTCAGTTTTGTCTCAGGATGCGATCCACACCAGTCGACTAACACCCAGGTACCCATTTTACTGATGGGTGAACATAGTCAACCGATGTTTCTACCCCTTTGCCGAGAATCGAACCTGGACCCCTCACCGTGTGAAGCGAGGGCTTTTGCCAGCAGGCCACTTGATAAGAACATAAGAACATAAGAACGAAGGAACACTGCAGCAGGCCTACTGGCCCATGCGAGGCAGGTCCAAGTCTCCTACCAGCTTAAGCCAATGCACCCAAACTAGTCAGGTCAGGTCACCTTGACTTACGGGAGGAACACGGCAACCGACCTGGTAGCACAAGCTATCAGGTCCAACTCACACCCACCCACATCCACTCATGTATTTATCCAACCTATTTTTAAAGCTACACAACGTTCTGGCCTCTATAACTGTACTTGGGAGTTTGTTCCACTCATCCACAACTCTATTACCAAACCAGTACTTTCCTATATCCTTCCTGAATCTGAATTTTTCCAACTTAAAACCATTGCTGCGAGTCCTGTCTAGGCTAGATATTTTCAGCACACTGTTTACATCCCCTTTATTTATTCCTGTCTTCCATTTATATGCCATGGAGTTACGCTCTGGAGAGCTGTTTAGTATGAAACATGAAGGATATTGAGGGGAAAGAAAGGGATGAGAGGAGAGCTCAGAGGAAAGTGTCAACACGAAGTGTTACGAGGGATACCAAGGGGCTAGGGAGAGGAGAGTAGGAGTCACGAGGAGTATAAAGCTGAGAAGAGTTGCCACAAACATGTTATTTGATAGTGAACTGTGCTTGTGTAACCTGCTGCCTGCTCCTAATCCCAGGTTAAGGTAATTATTACCTCCTACTTACTCATAATTATTTGGGAATGCAATGCACATTCATGTATATACAAGATAAAGAAATTTCAAGAGTTTTCGTAATGTATAAATTACCTATTCAATATATACTGTGAAAAAAAGTAGTTGTTGGTTAGAGAAAATAACCTAACATGAGTATGCTGACCTGTTGAGTGATGCCAGCAGACACATGAAGGTGGGGGTAGTCGACGGAATTAAGGTGGGTCCCAGCAGTAGCGACTCCATACTTACTCTGCTGGACTCAGGAAATCTGGGTTTGCTGACAGATGAACAGTTGTCACACCTTGCATCATGTGCTGGAATGCGATAAAATTAATGAATTTAGAAACAATTCACTCAGAAATGTTCAAGACATGTCAAAGTATTTTATCCACAGTGGCATATTACCAACCATTCTGGAAAAATACACTGACTTTGTCCATTGTAAATAACGCATAACCACTTACACTTTTTTTTTTACATCACAAGCTTACCTTGTTAAAATATAACTTAATATTTTGTAATTTTTGTGTGACCTAATTCATGTCTACATAAATGACTGAACCGTGAGTAAACGAGGTACTTGACTTTGATATCAGGCATAGCAGCATTATAATAATAATAATATTTTTATTTTAGCATGATACATGTTTGCACAAAGGAGTGTAATAATTATGTGAACATTCCAAAAGCCCCTCTATATGCAGAGCATTTCGAGCAATAATATTGTGTAACAGTAGTGAACCTCATCATTGTGTAATAAATTTGCACCTGAATAACAGTGATGTAATAACACTGAAAACACAGTACGCAACAGCAAAAGATATTAAATGTAAGTGTGAAATGCTATTACAGGTTGAGTATGGCTATTGGGCGGAGATTAGCGGTGATGATGGTGACACTGGTGACCTGCCAACATCTCTCTGTCTTGGCCCTCGTTACACCAGGTAATAGCTATCATCTCTGACGACTTTCAAAATAAACTGCATTATACCAGATATAGTTTGTAGTCTCCGAAGTATTTCATAATACTTTAATTACAGCTTTTTTTATCTTTCCCTCTACAGTGGCTTGTACATTCACTACTGTACTTACCATGTTCCCTCTACAGTGGCTTGTACATTCACTACTGTACTTACCATGTTCCCTCTACAGTGGCTTGTACATTCACTACTGTACTTACCATGCTTCCTCTACAGTGGCATGTACATCCACTACTGTACTTTTTTCCTCCCTGTCCTCCGCATGCAACCCTCAATTTCTTGACTCGGAAATTTCCACTATTCGCAGTTCGTTCTCTCGCTAAGAGCTGCCTCTTTTTCCTCGAGACTTTAGTAATGAGTAAAAAGAATGCGTACCTCGTAGCTCAGTAGAAGATTAAATTAACTCGTAACCAAAAGAACCCAGGTTCAATCTCGAGCGGGAACATATGACTAAATAAGTCTTGTGCAGGTATAACTAGAGTCAGTCAAATGTCGTGGGTCACATTCTGGGGAACCTCCAACGAAAATAATGACTCTGCCTAACTTTCTTAGGTTATCATGGACTATTATCCTGCAGGGCCAATCACTCGATTGAATTTTTTTTTTCAGTATATACACGCAGACAGTAAATAGATAACAGATGGTAATAACGAGTATACACGTAAAATGAAGATTGAAAGTAGGTGTTGTGAATAAGGTAACGGGAAAAGACAGTGAAAAAACTGTAAATACGTTTTTACGACAGGTGTCGACCCCGCGTGTGGCAGCCTTGGTCCTGGCACCTGTCTTACGAGAGCCGCTAAATGCGCCTTGGTTAAGAAACTGGCCCAAGGCAAGAATGGACCTGTTAAAGACGTCTTTGATTGTGCCACCGCCCAGGGTATCCCCAAGACCCAGGTCGTCAGTGTTCTTGGTGAGTGACGCATTTTGTACCAGAATCCATGTAGTGGTATATGTTTGTCTGTTTTATCTTAGACTTGGAGGTATGGTGTGTTGCAGGTACTGTATATATATATATATATATATATATATATATATATATATATATATATATATATATATATATATGTTGAATGTACTGTATATATATGAATATATATATAATACAACCCAGGAGTCCCAAAGGCCTGTTATCCTGGGTGTAAAGGGAGCAAAATAAACACAGCAGAAAAACTTTTGACTTGTATTATCCTTCACCAATTTAGAACAGAAGTATGTACACTATATACACTATGTACAACAATAGGTATTAGTGCACTCCACGGTAAGCAAGGCAGAAAAGAAGCCACTAGAGAGCAGACCGTGCTTCAACCAGCTCTAGAATGAGAATGACAAGGGCAGACAGGTGAGTGGTATCCACATTACCTCTGCGATTGCCAAAACCATCTTCTCATTGGCTGAAACCTGGGTACTGATTGAACGACGGGGCCCCATCATCAACCCTAGTACCTGGTTCGCTGGTTGTGGGAGATAGCCTTTCAATGAGGGTGTGTACATGCACCGAATAAAGGTTACGTACTCTTTGCATGCTATAAATGTGTTGCAGGTACTGCTTATACCTGGATGTGTTGCTGGCATTGCTTTTACCTGCTTGTGTTACAGTTATTGTTTATACTTGCATGTGTTTCTGACAGTTTATACTTACATGTATTACAGGTGTTACTTATATCTGCGTGAGTTACAAGTGCTGGTTATATCTGTGTGGTGGGCACTGCTTATATCTCTATATATTACAGGTATAGCCTTCCAGTCTGGACAGCCTGAGACTATCGTGGACCGCATCATTACCAACGACACAGATGCTGCGTTTCAGCTACGAAAGTGTGTCCTCACTGCTGGCGGTCAGGTGTGTGAAATGAAAATGAAAAATGCTTATTTCCTTGCAAAGCTTACAATATGTGGTTTACATATTACAAAGTATTAATTACAAAGAAAACCACTAACATGCCTAGGCATTTCTGGCTAGAATTCCCTACGTAGTGCACTTAAGTCCTAATACCACAATTGCTTAACCTTTTAACCAGTTTTAGTTAACATAAACAGCTGACTTTGTTAACTCTTGATTACAAGGATCGATTCTCAGCTTCTGAACCAGACTCTGAGACTCAGATGATTATTTTCACAAGTTTCTTGACTCTGTCTATTTCGCGTCTATTCTTTAAAGAGTATTTCACTTTCTACCCTATCATCCCCGTGGCTTTTCTGTGCGTGTCAGTTAGCTCTGGAACAAGCGCTGTTGCATACATTGACACTTTCTCCAGTTTCTTAAAATGCTTTTATTCAGGTGTGCTGCTTGTCGTATATTTTATGAAGAGCCTGGGATGTCTGTTGAGATTCCTGAAGACTACCTTAAGATTTGCCATATGAGCATCGGTTGCAGAGGTTATTCAACTGATGTGAGCCTCTGTCGATTTACCGGGTACTAAGGTCGCACCTAGGTTAGGTCTGAGTTAAGTCTGCAGCCTCTGTTCCCAAAGTCTGTACTGGGTACGGTCAACTTGTCTCTTCCCCAGTCTTCATAATCTTGCATTTGCTCTGAGATTGATTTCAAACAACCACTTACCCGACCAATCTTGCATTTTATCCAGATCCACTTCGAGCTTTTCCTTCTCCTCATCTATTTTTTTCTCATTAGTTTTACATAATTAGCAAGCACAAATACATGAGCATCTAATTTAATCCCACCTGGAATGCCATTTAGATAAAGCAGAAATAATACTTATTCTAATATAGATCCTTATAGAACTCTGCTAGTTACTTTTTTTTCCATTTTGACGTTTCTTCCAAGATACTCGCTCTTTGTTTCCTTTCCTTAAGCTTAGTACTCTTTGATTCCCTGGAGTATGTTCCCAGTTATTTGTGCCCCAGCCTCTTGCGGGGGTACAGTATCAAATGCCTTCTTGTTATCTAAGACAATGAAATCGACCCATCTTTGTCTTTCCTGCATAACATCAGTTATTATGTCAACTTGTCCTCGATTTTTTTTGACCCAGCCTCATGCACGCGCGCGCACGAGCATGCACACACACACAAACACACAAAATAGCGACATACAAAATACTGCGTGGAATAGACAAGGTGGACAGAGACAGGATGTTCCAGAGATGGGACACAGAAACAAGCAGTCACAATTGGAAGCTGAAGACTCAGATGAGTCAAAGGGATGTTAGAAAGTATTTCTTCAGTCATAAAGTAGTTAGGAAGTGGAATAGTCTAGCAAGCGATGTAGTGGAGGCAGGAACTATACATAGTTTTAAGACGAGGTATGATAAAGCTCATGGAGCAGGGGGAGAGAGGACCTAGTAGCGGTCGGTGAAGAGGCGGGGCCAGGAGCTGAGTCTCGACCCCTGCAACCACAATTAGGTGAGTACAATTAGGTGAGTACAGTTGGAAGTTGAAGACTCAGATGAATCACAGGGATGTTAGGAAGTATTTCTTCAGTCACAGAATTGTCAGGAAGTGGAATAGTCTGGAAAGTGATGTAGTGGAGGCAGGATACATATATACCTTTAAGAAGAGGTATGATAAAGCTCATGGAGCAGGGAGAGTGACCTAGTAGCAGCCAGTGAAGAGGCAGGGCCTCTTCTCTGGCCGCTACTAGGTCACAGTGGCTGCTACTGGCCACAGTGTGTGTACTAGGTGAGTACACACACACACACACACACACACACACACACACACACACACACACACACACACACACACACACCGAGCGTGTGAGTCACGCCTTCCGTGCTCCGTGAATATAAGTGTTTTTGAGGGCTACCCAAGTGTTCTGCAGGGGTTGCAAAGTGTGTTAGGGTAGTGAACAATCCTAAAAGCGATTTACAATCTGCCTGAGCCACATAAGTGTGGGGAGAGCCGCAATTTTGTAAGTGATCAAGAAAGTAAACCGTGGTGGCGCAGTCAGAGTGGGCAGGCTAGTGTGGGTGGTAAGGCGACGTTGTCACGTGTCACCCAAGAAACCTAATAAAGTGAAACAATCGTGTGTCCAGTGAGAGAAATACAGTGAATAGGGTACACTATTAACGAGAAGAAATTGAGGTGGATCTACGCCAGGATGTCACATAGAGCTGGACAATCTACAGGCTGCTACAGCTGCATTGCAAGTACTGTATCACCTATGAGTGGTTGTGTGGGTGTTCCAGGGTTCCAATTAACTGTCAAGCTGATTGTGAATGGTCTCTCATAGCACGATAAAGAATAGGCACTCAAGTATTAAATAAGGAATAGCAATTGGTAATTCAATGAACAAGGCGAGTAACTTACTATAAGCTAGGTGGCAGGACAAGCTTTTAAGGGCAACATTGTAAGTAGGTGCGGGTCAAGTCCCAGGAGGGTGGGGGTCAGGTCACAAGAAGTTGTGGTCAGTCAAGGACCACTGAGACTCCACATTACACAGCACAAGTCACCTACCTCACACACACACACACACACACACACACACACACACACACACACACACACACACACACACACACACACACACACACACACACACACACTCACACACTCACACACACACATATATCCAGACTCACACATACACTTCCTCCCTCCCCACCGACATCTCACTCCTTCCCCTGATCCCTCCCCTCCCTCTTTCACCCTCCCCCTCCCCACCTCTCCCTCCTTCCCCCTCTCCCTCTCCCACTCACCCACTTGCTTCTCCCTCCTTCCCACTCCCCATATTCCCCCCTAAATCCCCCTCCCCACTCCTCTCCCACATAGCCACAGTTCCTCCTCTACCTCCCCCCTCCACACTCTGACATACACACTACTAACCTAACACACAGAATTACATAGGTTTCCCACTCTGAGGCAATCAGGATAAAACAAAAATGGGTTGCCAGAGAGCAACAAGAAAAACCAAGGGAGAGGAGGAGGAAGCTGCAAAGGAAGATTGGGCAGCAGAGCTCATAAAAAGGGAACATGAATGGGAAAAGAAACTAGAAGAACTTAGCATGAGAATGGAAGAGAGGATAGATATGGAAAGCAGGAAGTGGGAGGTGCAAGTCAAAGCAGCAGATGCTAGGATACAGAGTTTAGAAGAGGAACTGAAAAAACTGAAACAGCCTAAAGAACTAAAGAACATTTTGGGATTGACAGCAGAGACTGCTACCTCAGTCACAAATAAGGGGACTGTAGGGAAAGAAGGAGCAAAACTGCATGTAGAAGCTCTATCAGAGGAGACTGTAGTAAATGAAAGAGCTAAGCTATATGTGGAGGCCCTAACAGACCACAGCAGAGCCCAGGGAAAGCCAAGAAGGGAAAATGACAGGCTACTGAGCCCAAGTACATTAGCTAGTGAAACTGAAGAAAGGAAAGCTGCATTGGAGGAAATCAAATTGAATGAGGGGATACACAAAAAGAAAGGCAGAAACTGAGAGAGATGGTACAAAGGCGAAAGGAGGAAAGAGAGGGGATGGAGAAGACAGACAGGAGATCCCAGACTTCCTATAGAAGCCTCCCAACCAGGTCAACCCCAGTGCAACCAAACACTCTAAACCAAAACACCCATGCCACATCCAATGCCCCCACCCACTGCATTACAAGCTCCACCCCCACAGCAACCACCCATAGTTCCTTATCAGGTCTCCCGCTTCCCCAACCCCAATACACCTCCCAGACCACAGTCTTAGAAAAGAAGTTGAAGGTATGGTATACAAATGCAGATGGAATAACAAATAAGTATGAGGAGTGGCATGAAAGAATCAAGGAGACATCCCCAGACATAATAACACTCACAGAAACAAAACTCATCAGAATAATAACAGATTCAATCTTTCCATACAGATATCAAATCCTCAGGAAAGACAGAGGGAGGAGAGGGGGAGGAGGAGTTGCACTGCTCATTAAAAACCAGTGGGGTTTTGAGAAAATGGAAGGAATGGATGGCACGGGCGAAAGGGACTACTTAGTAGGAACAATCCAGTCTGAGGGACATAAGGTGATAATTGCAGTAATGTACAACCCACCACAGAACTGCAGGAGGCCAAGAGAAGAATACGATGAGAGCAACAGAGCAATGGTCGACACACTAGCCGAGGTGGCCAGGAGAGCACACATGGGGGGGAGCAAAGTTACTAGTTATGGGTGATTTCAAGCACAAGGAGATTGACTGGGAAAATCTGGAGCCCTTTGGGGGTCCCAAAACATGGAGAGCCAAGATGATGGATGTGGTACTGGAAAACCTCATGCATCAACATGTTAGAGACACTACCAGAGAGAGAGGAGAGGATGAACCAGCAAGACTGGACCTTGTATTCACCTTGAGTAGTTGACATCGAGGATATCATGTATGAAAGGCCCCTGGGAGCTAGTGATCATGTGGTTCTGTGCTTCGACTACATAGTTGAGCTTCAAGTGGAGAGAGTAGCAGGAATAGGGTGGGAAAAACCAAACTACAAAAGGAGGAACTACTCAGGCATGAGGAACTTCCTTCAAGACATTCAGTGGGAGAGGGAACTGACAGGAAAACTAGTACAAGAAATGATGGACTATGTGGCAACAAAATGCAAGGAGGCAGAGGAGAGGTTTGTTCCCAAGGGAAACCGAAATAATGGGAAGAACAGAACGAGTCCATGGTTCACCCAAAGGTGTAGGGAGGCAAAAACTAGGTGTACTAGAGAATAGAAAAGGTACAGAAGACAGAGAACTCAGGAAAATAAAGAGATTAGCCAAAGAGCCAGAAACGAATATGCACAGATAAGAAGGGAGGCTCAGCGACAATACGAAAATGACATAGCATCGAAAGTCAAGTGACCCGAAGCTGTTGTACAGCCACATTAGGAGGAAAACAACAGTCAAGGACCAGGTAATCAGACTGAGGAATGGTGATGGGGAACTCACAAGAAACGACCGAGAGGTATGTCAGGAGCCCAACACGAGATTTAAAGAAGTATTTACAGTGGAAACCAGTAGGACTCCAGGAAATCAGAACAGGGGGGTACACCAGCAAGTGCTGGATGAGGTACATATAACCAAGGAGGAGGTGAAGAAGCCGCTATGCGAACTTGACACCTCAAAGGCAGTGGGGCCAGACAACATCTCTCAGTGGGTCCTTAAAGAGGGAGCAGAGATATTGTGTGTGCCATTAACAAGGATTTTCAACACATCATTTGAAACTGGGCAACTCCCTGAGGTATGGAAGATGGCAAATGTAGTCCCAATTTATAAAAAGGGAGACAGACATGAGGCACTAAACTACAGACCTGTATCACTAACGTGTATAGTATGCAAGGTCATGGAGAAGATCATCAGGAGGAGAGTGGTGGAGTACCTGGAAAGAAACAAGTGTATAATTGACAACCAGCACGGTTTCAGGGAAGGAAAATCCTGTGTCACAAACCTACTAGAGTTTATGACAAGGTGACAGAAGTAAGACAAGAGAGAGAGGGGTGGATCGACTGCATTTTTTTGGACTGCAAGAAGGCCTTCGACACAGTTCCTCACAAGAGGTTACTGCAAAAGCTAGAGGATCAGGCACACATAACAGGAAAGGCACTGCAATGGATCAGAGAATACCTGACAGGGAGGCAACAACGAGTCATGGTATGTGACGAGGTGCCAGAGTGGGCGCCTGTGACAAGCGGGGTTCCACAGGGGTCAGTCCTAGGACCTGTGCTGTTCTTGGTATATGTGGACGACATAACGGAAGGGATAGACTCAGAAGTGTCCTTGTTTGCAGATGATGTAAAGTTAATGAGAAGAATCAAATCGGATGAAGATCAGGCAGGACTACAAAGAGACCTGGACAGGCTACAAGCCTGGTCCAGCAACTGGCTCCCTGATTTTAACCCTGCCAAATGCAAAGTCATGAAGATTGGGTAAGGGCAAAGAAGACCGCAGACACAATATAGTTTAGATGGCCAAAGACTGCAAACCTCACTCAAGGAAAAAGATCTGGGGGTGAGTATAACACCGAGCATATCTCCTGAGGTGCACATCATTCAGATAACTGCTGCAGCATACGGGCGCCTGGCAAACCTACGGATAGCGGTCCGATACCTCAATAAGGATTCGTTCAAGACTCTGTACACCATTTATGTCAGGCCCATACTGGAGTATGCAGCACCAGTTTGGAATCCACACTTAGTCAAGCACGTCAAGAAATTAGAGAAAGTGCAAAGGTTTGCAACAAGACTAGTCCCAGAGCTACGGGAATTGTCCTACGAAGAAAGTTTGAGGGAAATCGGCCTGACGACACTGGAGGACAGGAGGGTCAGAGGAGACATGATAACGACATATAAAATACTGCACGGAATAGACAAGGTGGACAAAGACGGGATGTTCCAGAGAAGGGACACAGACACAAGAGGTCACAATTGGAAGTTGAAGACTCAGATGAATCAAAGGGATGTTAGGAAGTATTTCTTCAGTCATAGAGTAGTCAGGCCGTGGAATAGCCTAGAAAGCGACGTAGTGGAGGCGGGAACCATACATAGTTTTAAGGCGAGGTATGATAAAGCTCATGGGGCAGGGAGAGAGAGGGACCTAGTAGCAATCAGCGAAGAGGCGGGGCCAGGAGCTGTGACTCGACCCCCGCAACCACAAATAGGTGAGTACAAATAGGTGAGTACACACACACACACACACAACACACACACACACACACCACATTTTATATATATATATATATATATATATATATATATATATATATATATATATATATATATATATATATATATATATTATATGTCGTGCCGAATATGTAAAACTGGTCAATTAGGAAGAACTCATTTAAAATTAAGTGATTTCTAAAAAATTATCTTATACGTTTAAAGATATATTTTTTTCATTTATGTTAATGTAAAAATTTTTAATTTTGCACCAAAAAGAGCTTAGAAAACTTACCTAATCTTATTATAAAAAGAACAATTTATTTTAGCCTAACCCAGCTAAATATATTTTAGATTTGTTTACAATAATTTAATACTAAACAAACATAGTGAAATATATTTTTTTCGTTAGGTTCAGAATGATTTTGGCGAAATTATTGCATAAACAAATTTTCACTTGTCCTATATGGCAAGATGAGAGTTGCTATTTAAGCCAAGATCGCAAGTTCTGCCTATTCGGCACGACATATATATATATATATATTTATATATATATATATATATATATATATATATATATATATATATATATATATATATATACACGAGGCTGGGACAAAAAAAACTCGAGGAGAAATTCGACAAAATAAGTGATATGAAGCAGGAGAGAGAGAGAGAGAGAGAGAGAGAGAGAGAGAGAGAGAGAGAGAGGTGGATTGCATTTTCTGATATTTAGGAGTGAACAAATATATTACTCCATAACGTGTTCATGTATTTTATTTTTGCTAAATTTTCGGCAGGTGACGATAAATGGAACTGTGAATCGCGCTGCTATGATGAACAAGCTGCAGATGTCCACCTCTACCCATCCGGCCATCCTGGACACCATTGCCGCCGCAATCACCACATGTCCAGAGCCGGAACAGCTACAGGTCAGCATTTGTCATGTTCTCTAAATTGGCCATGAAGAAACCCTGATTGCTTAAGATACTTAACCTTAAAGGGCTATTAACCCAGAATAACCCAGCCTAGGTTATTTACAGTGATGCTTAGATTTTTAGATTTTGCCACCGAAGTGGCTCGTTTATCGTGCACCCCATATCCATCCTGTGGACGGTAGCGCGAGAGCATATGGATACACAAAAGGCCTAGGAACTAAGCCCCAAGGGGTTAACAGGAATACATATGGATTTATATCTACATATCTATAGTTCACTTATCTGTTACAAGCAAATTTAGGAAATTTGCTTAGTATATCTGGTATCTTATTTTCATTAATAAGATATCTTGACATATTACATAGGTTATTATACTGTCTATCTCTGTACTCCTCAATAAGTGGACAATTAAGCACATAATGTTCAAGACAGTGACCATATACCTGATCACATAATTTACATTTAGTTTGATCATCATCTGTGTGTCTCCCAAACTGCCAGAAGTACTTGTAACCAAGCCTAAGTCTGGCCACTACAACATCAGTCAGTCTGTTCACATTGCAAGTTGCTCCATAAACATACTTATCTACGTTCATGTTATCATAGTGGGTTATAGATCTACTCAGGCTTCTAACTGCATTCCTATAACAATCATTTTCATTATTTACTTCTCTCCTAATATTATTCCCAATGCTAGACACAGATATACCAAAGTTATATTCTGTATTCTCCTTCTAGGTACTCTTCTTGGCTAACCTATCAACTTTATCATGAAGAAGTAATCCAATGTGTGATGGGATCCATAGCAATTGTACATTAATTCCTTTGTCCCTGATTTTTGAGTATCTGTACCTGGCTTCTCCAATGAGCATGTTGTTGGAGTCATTATATGAGTTAAGAGCATTCAGTGATGACATAGAATCAGTAATGATGATTGAGTCAAGCTCAGTGTCATTAGTTAGCTTTAGAGCCATTAGGATTGCAAACAGTTCAGTTTGCGATGTAGACGCCCAGTTGTTAATTCTTATGCCTAGTTCAACAAGTTTATTATCGATATTAACTAGGGAGGTGACAACAAGAGCAGATGCAGCCCTGCCAGAAGACTCCTGTTTAGATCCATCAGTATATTATATTAAAGATTAGCCGGTATTCTCCCGGCCCGGGCCTTTTCCAAGTGGTGGCCCTGCCTTGGCTCCCTCTTTAGGGAGTGTCTGAGACCTAAGTCTCCCATGGGAGGAGGCACAAGTACCTCCTCATCTTTGGGACCAACTGTCCCCAGGCCTAGCCACAAGCTAGGCCTCTCTGGTCTGCCATCCCCGCCCCAAGGGGGCTAATGAGAATCCATCAGTGTATATAACTTGTGATAACTTTTCCACCAAAAATGACTCGGTTAACTATTTACTGCTAGATGGGCAGGAGCATTATTAGTATAATCATGGGGAGCGTTAAACCCGTTGGGATTATACAGCGCCTGTGGGGGGGGGATGGAAGGTATTCAGGCTTAATTCAGGGAACTGGAGGACAGATCCAATTTCCTAGATCAAGAGCCCCTCACCAGCGTCAAGGAACCTCCCTTGAGGGGATGAGCAGGAGCAGCATGTGTAAGATTTATCCATGCATCCGGCCCCACCCTGTAAGTGAACCCGGATCCATTTGATTTTCATTCGAATGCACTCCCAGTGCGTTATATAAGGAGAGGTAGGAAGACAATATTATCGATATAATGTATATAGTGATCAAGATGCCATTGGCAAGCTAGTAAACATCAGGCAAAAGAAATACCTGCAACTCAGTTTTGTTCTTACCTTCTCGTCTACAACGATAGAGTTTTAGACATTTTTCTTTGTGATTATTAATTATGTTTTTTTTTAATTTTTTTTTAAAGGGGGATTCTCTTACGAACTGTGAAAAAAAACAGCAGTTAAAAAAAAAGGTTTGGGAGGAATCAAAAGGTATTTAAATCACTTGTGTTTTGTATCAGGAATAGTAAGTATTTAAGGGGTCAGGGTTTTTGTTTTCCCCAGGAAGGAAGAAAAAGCATTTTAAAATTTTAGTTTTTGTTTGTCAGGAATGTTTAAACATTAAGTCAGTGGGGTGGTACAAAAATTTGGGAAGCATTAATTTAGTTGGGGTTTTGGAAAAAGAATGGTTTAAAATTAAAATCAAGGGGGTTTTTGTTTTCAAAAATGGTAAGCATTAAAATCAGTGGTGTGTGACAAGAATGGAAGCATTAAGTTTAGTGGGGTGTGTCAGGAATGGTAAGCATTTTTGTCAGTTTGGTGTTGACAAGAATTTGGGAAGCATTAAGTCAGTGGTGTGTGACAAAAAATGGGGAAGCATTAAATCAGTGGTGTGTGTCAGGGAAAGGTAAGCATTAAGTCAGTGGTGTGTGACAAAAAGAATGGTAAGGATTTAAATCGTGGTTTTGTGACAAGAATGGTAAGCATTTAAAATCAGTGGTTTTTGTTTCGGAATGGTAAGCATTAAGTCAGTGGTTTTTGGGGAAAAGAATGGTTTAAACATTAAATCAGTGGTGTGTGTCAGGAAAAAGGTTTGCTTAAAAAAAGTGGTGTGTGACAAAAATGGTAAGCTTAAGTCAGTTGGGGTGTGTCAGGAATGGGAAGCATTAAGTCAGTTTTTGTGTGTCAGGAATGGTTTTGCATTAAGTCGTGGTGGGGTGTGTCGGAAAAGATAAGATTTTAAATCGTGGTGTTTGTTTAGGAAGGTAAGCATTAAAAGGGGTTTGGGTTTTGTGTGTCGGATGATAAGCATTAAAGGGAAAATTGTGTGTATGTCTTTGGTGCCCCCCTGGCCTAGTGGCTTAAGTTCCCCCCCCTACCATGGCGGGGTCGGGACCCTTTCCCCGGGGAGGGTTTAAGGGCGCGTTTCCAAAAAACCCGGGTTTTCTATGTTCCCCCTCACTAAAAAAATAGGTAAATGAGTGTTAGGGGGGGGCGGGGGGGCTGGTTTTGGGTCACATTTCCTTTTCGACAAAAATGACCTAAAATTTTCCCCAAAAGCTCTGCATAACAAGCGGCTTTCTACGTTGTTTATGTCATTGATTTCCAGCTATGGTTGTAACCTTGTAATTTTATTGTTTTGGGAAAAAAGATATTCTTTCTTTCTTTCCCAAAACCCCAGGCCCTGAACATCAAAATGGTTCCATACCGGGCTATTGGTAGGTAAGGAAAACCCTAGGCAAAATTTGGCAAATTTATTCCGGGAAAATTTGCCTACACAGTAGGCTTCTTCATTTGAATTTCAGAAAGTAGCGGAACAGTAGGATGGGAAGACGATGTAATCGTCCATACCCTTGAAGTGTAGAATTTTTGAGGTTGGCGTCCCCCAGCCTGGAGAAGTTTTAGTTCCATAGTCAGGAAAATATTGAAGATTTAAACGGGCAGTGAGGAGACTTAAATACTGTCGGAAGGGGAGGTGCAGAGTTGTAGTAGTTGTAGTGAGAAAGTAGCCCCTGAGAGGTCATGCCCCCCCCAGATCAAACAATTTCACTTGAAAAATTTGTCCCAAAGGGGTTTTCTGTTTCCAAAAATGCCATGTGTTGCAGTGTTTGACAAGATGAAAAATCAAAATGGTATACAATCCGACAGGTTGGTAGGTAAGACACATTTGGCAAAAATGGGAAAATCAAAATGGTATAAATAAAGACAGGGTTTTTTTAGGTAAGGGGCACCAAAGCAAAAAGTTAGGGAAAATTTATTCCGAAACGTTTTTGGCCCACACAGTAGGTTTTTTCAGGGGAATACAAAAAAAAGTAGGCAGGAACAGTAGAGATGTGAAGACGAAAGTAATCTGTCCATCCCCCCTTAAAGTCGTAGGGTTTGAAGGGGTTTTCAGGTTCGGCCTGGAGGTTCAGTTCTGCAGGAAACATCAAAGATCACGACAGTTGTAGGTTAAATTAAAAAAAAAGGGGGGGGGCGGGTATGTGTTATGTATGGTTATTGTTGATATGATGATGGAGGCCACTGAAAAGGTATTCCCCTCAGACCAACCTTCCATTAAAAAGTTGTCCAAAAAGTGTTTTGTAAAAAGATGCCCTGGCAGGCGAAAGATCATCAAAATGGTTTCAATCCACATTGGGGGTTAAAGAACAATGAAACGAGCCTTTTTTCCAAACGTTTCCCTAAAAAGTACTTTTCAGTCAATAAAAATAGGCGGGAAAAATGAGTTTGGGGCGTGTAATCAGTTACCCTTGTTGGGAAATTTTGGGGGTTGTAGCCCCTCGGGGGGAAGTGTTATGTAGGAACATTCAAAGATCAAGGGCAGTGTGAGGAAAATTACTTGGAAGGGGGGGAAGGGTGTTTGTAATAGATTTGAGGTGTGTTTTATGTTTTGGGGAAGGGGGCCATGGGAGGCATGCCCTTAGACCAACATTCCTGAAAAGCTGTCAAAGTGTTTTTGTACCAAGATGCCCGTGTTCGTTCCCCAAAAAGTCTAAAAATGGTTACAATACGACAGGTTTTTAGGTAAAAGACACATATGAAAAAGAGAAATTTATTCCGCGTTTCGCAACAGGGGTTTCCGCGTTCAGAAAGTACGGAACAGTGAGAGTGAAGACGATTAAATGCCCATCCCCTTTTAAAGTGTAGAATTTTGAGGGTGCAGCCCCCCCGGGAAAACTTTTTCCAATCAAAAACATCAGATAACACGGTTTGGAGGCAAAATATTAAAGGGAGAGGGCGGGGTTGGGGAAAAGTAGTTTGTGTGTGGGGGTTAGGGTTTTTTAGTAAATTTATTAAAAGTTGAAATTTTTCCCCGAGAGGTTTTCATGTCCCTTTAAAAATTAAAAATCCACTTGAAAACCTTGCAAATTTGTTTTTGAAATTTTTTTGCCCCCGTGGTTTTCCGTGTCGAAAAGAGGAACTTTTTAAAAAGGGTTTACCAATACCAAGGTGTTTAGGGCATTGGCCGGAAAAATTTTTTATTCAAAAAATTTGGGTAACACATTTTAGTTTAAAATTTCGGGGGGGTGGGGG